ACTTTATTTAAACGATTGTATAACATTTGACAACTGTCAACTAACTTAAAACTAACTTCAGCCCATGACTAAAAATCTGTTGCTAACTTCAGCCCGCAACTAAAACGCCATACGTTCTGACGATTAACCCTTTTTCGAAGTCCAATAATAATAAATTTAACAAAATCCGAAGAACAAGCATTTTTAAAAACAAATTCACTATAATCTTTATTAAGTACTATTAAAAAAGCAAAAAAAAAACTGTAATCAGGCTGATTACAGTTTTTTTTTGCTTTTTTAATAGTACTTAATAAAGATTATAGTGAATTTGTTTTTAAAAATGCTTGTTCTTCGGATTTTGTTAAATTTATTATTATTGGACTTCGAAAACGGGTTAATGTGAAAAAAATAAGTATGGATTAGCTGATTAAATCAGCTAATCCATACTTATTTTTTTCACAATTTTAAAAGGTTGCGAAGCCTAAGGACATTAGGATGACGACACGGAATTTTTGTTATCTCTTTTAATATATTTTTGACTTAAATCTAGAAGGAGTAAAAATCTTAAATTGGCCTAAAAGATCATATTGAAATACACTTGTTTTCTTGGATTTTTTTGTAATGTTAAGGTCATTGCGGAGGCTGAAGATATTAATCAAATTGGCTAAAATTGTAACCACGTAATATAAGTTACCAATGACAACTTGTAAAGGGCGTACGTTATTGGATTTAGAAAAAAAGGTTATATCGGCCCACCCTAATGATCACATATGATCAAACGGTACACAATGTTACTATGTTTTTTTGGATTCACAAATGGGTCACACTGTATATCATACTCCATTATAAAGGTTTTATATCTGTGGTAATGAAATAAATAAAATAGTTACTGAAGAAAAATCGCGAATACGCAGGATTTTCTAACTGTTCTTAATTAACTAAAAAAAAGTTTAATTAATTAATCAGTGATTAATAATCACTTTAAAATATAAAAAAATGTGAATGTATACTTAAATTAACATTTATGTATACATATACATAAATATAATATATTATGTATCTACCCAAGTCCCTAATTAAGTAAATTACATTGTACATATAAGGCAAGCAATTTCCATTTAATTAATGGGCATTTTTCCAGTATTTACAACAACAATGGTTCATTAAAAAGGAAAGCGACGGCCTGTACAAATTCAAAACGAAAACGCTTTAGGTAACCTTAAAGTTAAGATAAAAAGTGGAGGTGACAAATTGGCTTAATTCTCCATGTTTAGGGTCCATTAAGAGGCGCAGTAAAAGTTTCACTTAAAGTGTTAATTAAGCTGGTCTTTTATCTAATATTAGAATTAATTAAGGAGTGGAGTAGTATCCAAGAGAAGAGCGGCGAGTGAGTCAGTCAGTCAGTCAGTTCGGCAGTGCGCCTTTCATCTTAATGCTACATAAATTAAGCGATCACATGTTCACACTTCTTTCTGACAAAAAACGACAACACATGCTCCTGTTAGATGGCGAGAGCTTTATGTTTCTCGACCTATTAGACAGACACTTGGACTTTTAGTCGGTTTAATGGAAAATCATTTATTGAACTGTCAAAAAAGAACAAGAGATCCGTTATTTAAAAATCCAGCGTAAAATATTCTTTATAATTGTATATTCTAACGCTGGGCAATGCATGGCTGATGACGTTGCGGTATCAAACTTACAACGTAAAATAATTGTTAATACCTAATTATTAGAAATGGCCCCGGAGTTTAATCATTGAGATTCCTTTCTTAATAAATACCTACCCCAGAGCTGGAAAAGTATCTAGTTACTTTTTTAAGATACTTTAAACAAAATAACTTAGTTACCTCCGGTAACTAGATACTTTGAGTTTTATATTATCTTTAGTTACAAGATACTTTAAAAACTATCTAAGATACTATCCGAAAGTATCTAAGATACTATATGAAAGTATCTAAGATACTTTTGAGTAACTAAGATACTTTTAAGTAACTAAGATACTTTTGAGTATGAATAAAAACTATAAAATTATAAAAACTGAACAAATTGTAGGTTAGGTAATTACTTTGAATCATTCTGGAATTCCCCCAATTTTCTCTAACAAAGTATCTAAGTTACACTAAAAAGTATCTAAGTTACTTTAAAAAGTATCTTACTTACTTAAAAAAGTGCCTTAGTTACTTTAAAGTATCTAAGTTACTTGAATGTATCTTACTTTCCCGAGTAACTTATTAGATATTTTTTAGATACAAGTTACAAGATACTTTTCCAAAATAACTAAGTTAAAGATACTTTCTGGCCAATATAAAAAGTATCTAAGATAAAGCATCTTAAATACTTTAAATATCTAAGATATTTTTAAGCTCTGATATATACATTAGGGTGTTTCAAAAAAAACTTAAATTATTTTTTTTTTGGGTGTTGCGAAAACAAACCATTCCAAAATTATAAGAATTCAAAATTTAAAAAATAAAAATTCCCGTGTTATTGAAATGGAAAAACAACAAATGAATTGAGGCAAACCTTAATATTAATATTAAGGGCTCAAATATGCGCCAAAATTTTTGTTTTTAATGTATTATTAATTTTTCAACACCATTAGAAAAAAAAAATAATTTAAGTTTTTTTTGAAACACCCTAATGTATACATCAGAGCTTAAAAATAACTTAGATATTTAAAGTATCTAAGATGCTTTATCTTAGATACTTTTTATATTGGCCAGAAAGTATCTTTAACTTAGTTATCTTAGTAATTTTTTTTTAAACACCCTAGTAGGTATACATACATATTATCCTTATTAATATATTATATTTACAATAGACATAAGACGTCGCTGCTTGGCTTTTCCCGAATAGCTAAATTTTTAGATTCTTGATCATCAGTATTTTGACAGAATGGAAGTAAAAACTTACAAAGATCTTGCTGGTTGCACAACCAAAAAAGTAAAGTAAACTGTAAAAGAGCATCACGGGAATTACAAAGGGAAAGTTTCCGAGGCGGGGTGGGTATCATTATGTTTGGTGAACAAACAACAAATAGAGTACTTAAGTATCGCATTGAAAGGCGAGCGAGTGGTATCATGTTGATTGTATACTTATAAGAATGGTTGCGTACACTTTTGGACAAGAGGGTGAATGCCTCCCCTGCGGCGCTTTTGTCAGCTCTCAAAAGGTACTTAGCATGCCAGAATGACAACATTGTCGATAAGAAGAAATGTGTACAGCAGGTACTGGTACGGGCTAGAATCGTAGGGGATCCTTGCACAAAATTACATAACGTTTTTTTGCTAATCCTTCTTGAAATTGCATGCTCATAAAAGGATTGAATTAGGTACGAATCTAGGTAGATTATTTAGGCTAGATGACATGTGTATCAGAATTTCGGTCCATTTTATTGGACCTATCCATTTTAATTACAGTAAGTATGGGTATTCCTTTTTAAATGTAGATATTTCATCGTTGATTCACTCAAATATATCATAGAAAAATACGGTTAAATGAATTGAATAAACAATAAACAATTAATGTATCATTCATAAAATTTATCCACGCATTGAAGAGTACATAGTAACTTAAAAAATGTCGTTCATCATTTATATATCAAATAAAACATTTATTTATTTATTTATAATGTTATTTCCCATGGTGAAATAAATCTAAATCTAAATGTTCTAAATCTTTTAATCACAAAGGCAACATGTATTTCTCAGTTCAACAAAAAATTAGTTACTGTAGGGTATTTCCACGAAACCTTGACAAAAAATCAGATGTGTTATTTATAAAAACTATATCTCAAGTCAAATAGTTTAATTGCGACGTAATTTATAACCTTAAAATATTCGTACATTGTGATGCTAGAAGCTAACATTAATAATAAACACGGAAGAGTTTCAGTACTCAATAAAATGTTCAATGTCGCACCCGTTACTATTTAAGAAAATTTTAGAAAATAAAGTATGCAATTTTTGCGCATTTAAAATACGTGCTTGTTTAAGGTTACTATTCAAGTTTTACACAAAAAAATATTACTACATGCTTTCATCCAAAATTTTACTGTAAAATTTTTACAGTATCAACTTTAGAAGCCAACTGGGTCGCACTTGCCGATTTTCTAAGGTCGAGGTTGACATTTTGTTTGAGTTAAATACCTAATTTTTCATACTATTTTTTATATTAACGTATCTTGAACAAACACTTTATTATCATAAAAAAACGCAGTTTTAGTGTCGCACCCTACAATGGAAATACCCTGTAGTCTTTGTTATATAGATCTAAATGTATACATAGATAGTTTACGCCAATGCAGGCAAGGTTCTCCTCTCTCTCACTTTGGCATTAGTGCTACTATTTCAAAAATTATGAAAATTAACCTAATTCTTAGGCATGTGTTTGGCACGACACTGGATTCTTTTAAACTTTAATCCATGACCTATCTAACGTGTAAGCGGACTAAGTAGAGTCGGCCAGTTGTTTAACTTTGGTTCTTATTGGTACCATTATCAATGATTTTAACGCGTCGACTATAATTTGTTCGTGGACATTACAATAATATGGATTTAAAAAAATATGCATTTAAAAAAAATAATATTGTTTCTTTTAATGGAACACCCGATATATTTTCAGGTATTTGAATAATATGAATTTTTTTTAGTTTTCATTCTAAGGAATACTGTATTTATACGCTCAGCTAATTAGGTTCTGCAAAATTACCATAAGCAAAGTTTTTTTCTTAATTAATTAATAATTCTTTTTTATAAAAATGCTATTAGAAAAGATTAAAACTTAAGCTTTAAGTGCCAAATATTTCTTGAATTTTTAATACAATTTTAATGGTGGTTTTTTAAACTCGTACTTTTCTTATTTCGTCTTATCTTTTCTTGTGTTAAATCAATAATCTTTGATATTTTAATAAACTTTTGGCCGGTTTATCAATGTCCGGTTAAAGTTGCCCTTACTCAACTTAAATTATCATCGATTAACCGAGAGTAATTGGATAGAATGACACGGATCCAACATGGAGTAACTTAATTAAAGAGATAAGATGGAAAAAAATAAAAGCTATTAGAAATAATTTGTTGATTTTTCTTATTGAAAATCCAATCGGCAAAATCGATAGGAGTTGTAAGCGCCATTCGCTCTAGCGAAGACGAAAAGGCGGAGCCAGAGGCCACGACCACACTATCAAACACGCACGCTCCCTGGCGGTCACGATGAAAGCTACGCCTAAGCCGCCACCGGCTGGCCCTACCAACAGCGAACCGAACAGCTTCAGTTGAACGGTCTTAACCGACGGACAAACACAACAATGTAAACAAAGAAATCGAATCGAAATCGACCTACTACATAATTTAATTTCTTCCGGTGCGTGTTTTTTTAAAAATAAACTTAAACATGTTGGTTCCGGCCGATATGCTGGCCGCGCAGTCCAAGATGCTCTACCAAATTAACAAATACTACGGCGAAAGAGTGCAAACGCGGATGGGCACCGTGGCCAAGACCATCAGGGAGGTGTGCAAAGTGGTGCAGGACGTTTTAAAGGAGGTTGAAGTGCAGGAACCGCGGTTCATATCCAGCCTCACCGAGTGCAACGGCAGATACGAAGGATTGGAGGTTATATCTCCAAACGAATTCGAAGTAAGCCACTCTTTTTGCTTCATTTGAATATCAATTACGGCGAGCGAGCCATATGCAAATAAACAATTAATTAGCTAAATGGCGCCCGGGAGGATAAAATAAAGTTCGGCTTGTTTTCAGGTGGTTCTCTACTTAAACCAGATGGGTGTGTTCAATTTCGTGGACGACGGCACCCTGCCGGGTTGCGCCGTTCTCAAACTAAGCGACGGTCGCAAAAGATCCATGTCCCTGTGGGTGGAGTTTATCACCGCCAGCGGTTACCTGTCTGCGAGAAAGATCCGCTCCAGGTTCCAAACCCTGGTGGCTCAAGCGTGCGACAAGTGCAGCTACAGGGACTCCGTGAAGATGATAGCCGACACCACCGAAGTGAAACTACGAATCAGGGAACGATTTATCGTTCAAATAACGCCGGCTTTCAAATGCTCAGGTAACGATTTGTTTATTTTTGAATGCTTACAAACACATTTTGCTTTTGGTTGTTTTCCTCTTTTTACAAATCGTCAATTAGCTTTTTCTGCAGGCGTTTGGCCGCGATCGGCTGCCCACTGGCCGATACCGCACATCCCCTGGCCGCATCCCAATCTCGTCGCCGAAGTCAAAACCGAAGGGTTCGATTTGCTTTCCAAGGAGTGCGTGGCCGTGCAGGGCAAACAATCGGCCATGGAAGGCGACGCTTGGGTTCTATCTTTCCTCGAGGCAGAGAACAGATTGCTGCAAGGAGGTAATATCAACATTTTTGCAACAAAAGACGATACGCTGATTTACTATGTCTCTATAGGTTGCCGAAGAAGATGTCTAAGCATCTTGAAGACCCTTCGCGATAGACACCTGGATTTGCCTGGCAATCCCGTCACCAGCTACCACTTGAAAACCCTTTTGCTGTACGAATGCGAAAAGCATCCGAGAGAGTGCGAATGGGACGAACAGTGCATCGGCGACAGGATAAACGGGATATTCCTGCAGCTTATCTCCTGCTTACAGTGCAGAAGGTGCCCGCATTATTTCCTACCCAACTTGGATTTGTTTAAAGGAAAGTCGCCCAGTGCTTTGGAGAACGCGGCTAAACAAGTCTGGAGGTTGACTAGGGAGATGTTGACGAACACAAGATGCTTGGAAAAACTTTAAATTTACCAATGCATTTACTTTTAATCATTCCTCAACGAAACCGATTCCCTGTGTAATAAGTTGGATGTGCCATAAGTTGCAATATGTGGACGGATGGATGAAAAAATGTCGTATTTTGTTTTGCTATTGGTGTGTAAATGTACATGAATAGTCGTGATTGTTAAATGATCAATTAATTGAGTTTTGGATTTAATTATTCGGGCGAAGAATTAATTTATACGGACGGACATTACTGTAAATATTCATTATGGTTAAGTTAAAGAGACTGTTACTTTTGTTGATATTTATTGATTATTATTATTTATTGGAATATAAACTTGCTTTGCATTAAACCGGTGCAGCGTTTTATTGATATCCTTACCACAATTTATTGTTATTTTCCTTTATTCCAACACACGTTTAATTAAATCTATCCTTCTCCTCGTCATACTGTTACTTTATCTCATAAAACAACAAGCAATAAATTTTTTTACACCCAAGTATAAATCATACATTATACTTTAAAACATTTACCTATTTAAGGTATTTGTAAAATGTATATTAAACATGGATGGCCACGTTCTATTGATGTAGACTAAATCTAATATACCTACCTACTTAATTTGTATACAGCTACACAGATAGGTAGGTAGTATAAATGGTTTGTTCCATTGTCTCAATGATCAATAACTTCATAAGAGTGCATTTAAAGTGTAAATTTTAGACAACCAAAATCTGTTCCTCACATATGATGTATAGATGAATGTTTTTCATGTTAAAAGGGCAAAATAGACAATCGGAAGCCGCATACGTGTAAAATGCAAATGCATGCGGTGGGATAGGTTGGCTACCATACTTTTCAGTCATTCAACCCCGTTGACTTATGGTCCTTCGATGCGAATGTAATTAAGGTTTCCTTCCGAAGGAAGGGACCGCAAGATAGATAGACTCGTACCTAGATATCTACAACAAAGTTGTTGTTGGAACGACACGAGATATAAATTCTCGCGCGGCTCGCGAAGCAGATTGGCTGCGCATTCGGGGCGTTCCTCTAGTTGTGCGTCTCCGCCTTCGAACACGGAAAAGGGAGGGGAAACGGACACTTCACCTGGCCCCGGGATCCGAGCCTCTATTTTACGGTAACAAGGCGTACGAACCGGCACGCTCCGCATTCCATCGTCATATTTCCATTGTAAGTTTGTTGATTTTTTGAAAAATCATTTGCTTCGGAGTGGTGAGAGTGTGAGTGATGACAATCTAAGAAGTAGTACAAGACGAAGAAGAAGAAGAAATCAATCCCCACCATCCTCGGGGAGTAGTAATTTTCGTTTGCGGATACCACCAAATCAGTTCATATGAAACTACACGGGGGAAAAACATTACTGACCAACTTTACGACGAGCAGCAACGGCAACAACAACAATAACAACAACGTCTTGGGAGCCGCTTCTCTGGACCTGTGCCATACCAATACGATGCTAGTGCCGCCAGACATGCTGCAGGCCCAATCGAAGATGGTCTACCAACTCAACAAATACTACACGGAAAAAGTGCAAACTCGCAAGGTGCAAATCACGAAAACCATTCAGGAGGTCTGCCGAGTGGTGCAGGACGTTTTAAAGGAGGTGGAAGTGCAGGAACCGCGATTCATATCCAGCCTCACCGACTACAACGGCCGCTACGAGGGCTTGGAAGTGATCAGCCCCGTGGAATTCGAAGTTGTCATCTACCTGAACCAAATGGGAGTTTTGAATTTCGTGGACGACGGCACTCTGCCCGGCTGCGCGGTTCTGAAACTATCCGACGGCAGGAAAAGATCCATGTCTTTGTGGGTAAGCACATTCACTGGCTGACTTATTTTCTTTCATGACGTATTAACGAATTGTTTCGGCAAATTTAAGGTTGAATTTATTACGGCGAGCGGTTATCTGTCGGCAAGGAAGATGCGTTCGAGGTTCCAAACCCTGGTGGCTCAAGCGTGCGACAAGTGCAGCTACAGGGACTCCGTGAAGATGATAGCCGACACCACCGAAGTAAAATTGCGGATCAGGGAACGTTTCATAGTACAAATTACGCCGGCTTTCAAATGCGCGGGCTTGTGGCCGCGATCGGCGGCTCACTGGCCTCTTCCGCAGATCCCGTGGCCGCATCCCAACCACGTGGTGGAAGTCAAAACAGAGGGTTTCGATTTGCTGTCGAAGGAATGCATCGCTTTGCAAGGGAAACAATCCGCGATGGAGGGCGACGCATGGGTTCTATCTTTCATAGAAGCAGAAAACAGATTATTGCAAGGAGGTATGTACCTTCACGGACTGCTAACATTTTAAATAATCAACTCATAAATCCAATTTTCTTGCAGGTTGCCGAAGACGTTGCCTGAGCATTCTGAAAACGCTTAGAGACAGGCACTTGGACCTTCCGGGAAACCCCGTCACCTCTTACCACATGAAATCTCTTTTGCTGTACGAGTGCGAGAAACACCCTCGCGAAACCGAATGGGAAGAGTCCTGCATAGCCGACAGGATAAACGGCATTTTTCTGCAGCTCATCTCCTGCTTACAGTGCAAAAGGTGTCCGCATTACTTCCTGCCCAACTTGGATTTGTTCAAAGGGAAATCGCCCAGCGCTCTCGAGAACGCTTCCAAGCAAGTTTGGAGATTGACGAGGGAAATGTTGACGAATTCGCGGTGCTTCGAGAAATTATAGTGCGCTTAAAAATTTTGTGACAATTTCATCCGAATCCGAAATATTAACACTGAAATGTGATTTTAGTGATAGGTATTCTGAAATTTATTTATTTATTGCGACGTTCAACGTCGTCCACGGAACTCTGTTGTTTTCTCTATAAGGTACTGTAAATATTTTATTTAAAGAAGTGTGTGTACTAACCAATAAAATATTTTTGTTATACCTACATAAAAAATGCCTGCCTAGTTCCTTACAAATCAAATACTTATTAATTAATTCATTAATTTACACCAATATCTGTGATTTTTAGATTGTAGACTGTTTTCAAATATTTATAATTACATTTTTATAATTAACTACGCTATTTTTGTACATTTATAATTTTAAATTGAATTTATAATAAAACAATGAAAAGTACAAGTCATTTGTTTTCTTTGCGATAAAAACGATTTTTGGTATAATAGGTATTTTAAATTGGTTGATTTTTATGCGGCAAATATCTAGGTCGTTAGACAGAAATGCGTGCATAAATAATAAAGACATAAATTTATTCTCAAGGTAAATAAAAAAATATATAATACTAAATAGGGAAAATTAATGTGGACAGTAATGTTTTACCGTGTTTGCGGTTATAATGGCGCCAATAAATTGCGAAAAATTAACGGCAAACGTAATGGAAAATCCGCATGAAAAACTTAAATGTGTGGAATAATTAATTTAAATGATGTAGATATTAAATCAACGGCATGCGTTTTATTACATTTTAGAACTAGATTAACTACCTATAGCCAGAGAAGGATCATAATTTCGAAATACAGGTACCAGAACAAAAATAATTGAAGGAGTAATTAAAACTATGGTAACGTGTACCTAGTTAAATAATAAGCAAAAGAAAGAAATGAGATAAAAAAAGAAGAGAAGGCAAACATGCTTTATGTTTGCTATAGCGATCGTGGTTTAGGCATCATTTATTATAGAAATATCGTTGTCGGGTTTAAAGCAAGAAACGTTAATAGGTTTTAATGGGCATGTTTATTATAGTACCTATGCAACGAATTATTCGTGATCGTGTTCATCGCCAATATGCATTTTAACAGGCCCAAATCAACAAATTTTCAAAGTTTAAATTATAATTTTTAGCTTTAGACAGTATTTAATGATAGCTATAGCACGGTGGGCTGGGCCCATAAAACAATGTAAAGAAAAACCCTTAACTTGTAAGATTACGAAAGAAAAAGTTAAAAAACATTTTATTTAAAAAAGATACAGCTGTTTAAAGTAAAGCAATGCGAAAAAAATTCAGATTTTAGATTTGAACGAAATTTTCTATGCCTTTAAGGCGCTGTTACTTCTTATATATAACAAAAATATTAAAAAAATATTGTTTAAATTAAAGATGTACATATGTAATACATTATTGTATGTTTTGTCAAGTTGAGTTGTCAAAATTCGTAGTTAAAAATGCAATTAATTTGGCTTTGGTGGTGCGTAGATGAGTAAAATCATATAAAAAGTAGTTAAATATAGGCGACTACGGCCCAGGAGAGACAAAGTATTCCAAGCGGATAATATTCTTCGCATTGAAAAGAATTTATATAAAATAAATTAAAATTTTATGTGAACACACGTGAATGTTGCCAATCATTGGACTCCAATGGTGAATGGGTATTTTGTTAAAGCTACTGGACGTTAATACTTGTAGTGGCTTAATAATAATTATAATGTATAATATATATATTATATTGTCCAGGACTATTAATGATCAGTAACTTGCAAATTGAAAGAAGAAAAAGTTTCTTGATTATTCAAACCAAATGGATGATAATTTCAAAGACATGAAAATTAACTACTAGATTTTTCACAAAAAGATTGAACCCAACAGCAAATAATTTTTATTTTGTTTTTTTATTTCCTTATTTTTTAAAATTTTAAAAATGCTTGATCTGCTTAGCTGACTTTTACTCCAAAAATGTCCATAAGGCAATGTACTAAGTTTTGCCCTTAAAAGTTCTTATACTTTAGAATCTGGTATTATTTTTGGCATAGTTTAATTTTTATATCGATATTATATAATAATTAACAAGTAAATTATCAATAATAAATATTACTATCAATTTGACTGTGTCGAGTATCCGATAAAAAAAATTGTGTATTTCACTAACAAATGAATATATAGCCTAAGCCCAATTAACATATTGAAATGGAATCGAATGCTCTATATAATAATATAATAATAATAATATATTTATTAGTCCAAAAGACAATTTTACAATTGTATAAGACATGTCAAAAGATAAAAATACAAAATATTATAACATAACATATAAAAAAGGTATCCTACGTTTTTTTCGTAAACCAAGACATTCAAAAGATATCTTGGGTCAAAATTTGATTTTGAAAAAAATATACTATATTTTCAAAATGTTATAACTCCCAGAATAGTTCGTATTTTAAAATAGGTAGTATAAATTTTTGTTGGAAATTAACTGATCTACAAAAAAGGTCCCTTTAGTTTTTTTGATAAATGTAAGCGTTTTAAATATAATTGCAACTAAAAGTTCAACTTATACTTTACCTGTTTTTAATAACTAAAAAATATTAATTTTACTACGGTTTTTAATTTTTTTTATAAATTTGTGTTCTTTCTTATTAATTAAAATAAGCTTTTAACTATTTCACATTTTGTCCTAAAATTTTATTTCAACATATTCATTTTAATCATTTTAATAATTACATTACAACATTTATACCAATAAATTATTTAAGGGAAAAGTTTAAAAAACCCTTGTCATATTAAGAGTCCATACACGATATACTTTATATTAAACAAAGCTTATTATTCCGCGTGCGAAAAAAACAAAAGGAAACTTTTTTGTAGATCAGTTATTTCCAACAAAAATATGCACTAATTTTAATTCTAACTATTCTGTAACTTATAAAATTTTGAAAAAAAAAATGTATTTTGTTCAAAACTTTTCAAATTTTGACCTAAGATATCTTGAATGGATAGGTTTACAAAAAAAACATAAAATACTTTTTTGTGGAGCATTAATTTCTGAATAAAATGAAAAGTAGCATTCCAACCCACCGTGAGTCGACATAGGGCGACATAGGCGAGTGATTATGGTATTTTTAAACATTATCGACTTTATTAGGTTTAATATGCATTCTTACACTTAACTTAAACCTTATCTTGGTCGTTAAGTTAAAGAAAACACTTTGGAGAAGAGCCAGAGCAAAAGGTACTCTAATAGATAGATACATAGATATACGTGCGTATGGTCTGTAGTTGCGGGCCCTCGTTTAGTTATCATGATCATCATAATCATCGAGTTATTGCTGATTGATTTTCGTGTTTCGTGTTTTACACGGGGCGGCTCCGTTTGTTCAACGGAGAACCATTAAATTATGCCTCAACAACTGACAGCCGCCGTGTTGCCGCCACCACACTATATTATAACATACGCGACGTTGCTCGTACTCAATATTCCCACACATTAAAAAAAATCAAAGGTACAAAAACTATTGGCCAGTCGACAATGAATGGTCTTATTTAGGAAACTATATAATTAAAAGGAAATACTTCAATGATTTAATTTTTTCCATACTACAGGACTTTTATTTTTAAGGGTTTAATACATTAATCAATAAAATGATCAAACCGATATTGCCAGCCCAATAAAAATCCCCAAATTTGTCTGGCGGCATCAAATAGTTTTAAATATCATATAAAACAAAATATTCCAAACACAGATTTTTACTTAACCTCAAAAATAAATATTTAGCCAAGTGAGATAAAAAATTGGTGATCTTAAAATGTGCGTGAGTGAGTGAAATAAATAAAAAGTTTGAAATATTGTAAGGTACTCTCTAAAAATAAATAAGTCAAAAATTACTAATTGTCATACTGAAAAAGTAGCCACTAATAATTCTCGTCAACAGCAATTTGTATCACCAGTCAATTCCTGTATAAAAATTGTCCGTTGAATCAGAAAATGTCGTCAAAAGTTAAAAACAGTTTTTAAGATAAAGTCAATTTTCCATCTTATATGAAATTAAGTAGGTATATCTTAAAAACTGCTCTCCTTTTATAATTTTTGACGGTATTTTCGATTCAGAAGACAATTTTACATAAGAATTGTCCAGGATACAAATTGATGTGGACCATAGTAATTTATGGCGCGCCGTTTTAACATTTATTAAATACTTTATTAATTTAAAATTTTATTGGTTTAAATTTATAAATTTAATTTTATAATTTATAATATTGTATTGAAAGACAAAGATAACTAACTAACAGTTCACTTCTGTATAAAGCAATATTATTTCCAATAAATTTTTGCAAAAAAACTTTTTTTAATAAAAATAATTTCTCAAGTATAATTTATTTGGGCAGAAAATCTAAAATAAATATTTTATAAAATTATTTAGATTAAATTGGTAAAGTTAAATTTTGTAGCATTTAAAAATTATGCCGAGACATTTAAAATAAAAACACATATAAAACATTTTTTACTAAAATAGTTTAAAAAATTAAAATTTTTTAAACTCAAAATTGAGAATCAAAAAATATTTTAAATATAAAATGCAAATGTAAAAGTTTAAGTTTAAAATTTTGGTTTTTAAAAAATGTAGTCATTTTAATGATGGTCGATAAATTTGTAATACAAAAATTCTCACATTACATTTAAATCTAAAATTTTAAAGTGGTAATTTTTGGATTAAAAATTTATCTGCTATCATTTAAATGATTCTTGAGAAATTTAAACCAATAATTTTTATTTTTAACAAATTTAACAATAACATATTCACATTACTTTTAAATGTAAATCGATAATTTTTAATTCGAAAAGTGTAAACGCGGCTTTAACTGACTGCATATGCAACAGACTTTGTACGTTTCACCGACTATGAACTATGCTTAAAATTGACCACTCTAGAAAGAGACAGCTGCTAAAGCTACGTTTACACTTTGTAAATTAAAAATTATCGACTTACATTTATATAAAGTAAAGTAATTTTGTGTGTAAAATGTATAAATTTAAAATTGTTAAAAATAAAAAGTTTTGGTTTAAATTTGTAAAGAGTCATTTAAATGAGAGTCGATAAATTTTTAATCCAAAAATTACTCCTTTAAAATTTAAAACTTAAATTTAAATGTAATGTGAGAATTTTTGTATTACAAATTTATCGACTATCATTTAAATTACTTTACAAATTTAAACCGATAATTTTGTAGAATTAATAATTTCTAAAAATCAATATTTTTAAGCTTTAAGTTTTACAGTTGTATTTTATATTTAAATTATTTTTTGACTATCAATTGTTTTGAGTTTAAAAAAATTCAATTTCTGTTAAAACATTATTAAAGTGCCTCAAACTATTACCTATCTAATAAACGCTAAAAT